TTCCTTGCAATGAATTGGAATATAAATAGCACTCAGCATTTAATAAAATGTCAAATAGAAATAAGTTTAATTGTACAAGTATTAAATCTTTTTCTTTGAAATCTAATGTTAATTTTCAAGACTTTGAAACCTTAATACTGAGTGATCTGCAATGTTTGCAACATGTTTTCAATTGCTTTAACAGAATATTCCTTTTTACCTGGAAACAGACAAACTGTTTATTACACTAATCTCCAAAATAGCATATTTCATTTTGTCCTTTTTTGTTTTCCCACTTGCTTTTGGGTTGGAGCCAGCATGATCTGCAAACATGTCAACCCAAACAGTTCTTTTTATTTATTTATTTATTTTAATTTTAAATAGCTTGTTTTACATGTCAATCCCAGTTCCCTCTCCTTCCCTTCCTCCTGCACCCCCACCACCCCCCTTATTGCCTATTCCTTCTTGTATTTTTGTTGCTTAGTTTCTTGAATGCTTGAAGTTTTTAAGTGCACTCTGGCTATATTTGACTTTTCACATTCCTGACAGTTTAAGTGGTTGTGTGGCATAGTCACCATTAGCTGGTCTAAACAAAAGACTGCTCAGTAAGGCAAACTTCTGCAAGTTCTTCAGCAATTTGTTTCAGATAGTCAATTAGCCCTCAGCTGGCCTCCACATTTTTCTCTTAGACTTTCCAAATGTCAATCTTATGCCTTCTGGTGGCATTGCTAATTAGATCTTCTTGCTAAATGTGAGTGTACTTCATACCTTTCTATAGCTTCTGATTTCATGCCTGATAATCATTTGAGTCTGTGACTGCCAGGGAACTATCTTCTTAACTCCCCAAAAGATGAAACAAAGCTAAACCATCCCAACCACAGTCCAGGTCTGGCACCATTACCTGCTCATATATGGTCTACATATTACTCCAAATGTAGAAACGCTGAATTACCGGGCAGTGGTGGTGCTCGCCTTTTATTCCAGTACTCGGGAGGCAGAGGCAGAGGCAGGCAGATCTCTGTGAGTTTGAGACCAGCCTGGTCTATAAGAGCGAGTTGCAGGACAGCCTCCAAAGCCACAGAGAAACCCTGTCTCGAAAAACCAAAGAAAAAAAAGAAATGCTAGATTATTCTCCAACTACAAAATTTGTTCACTATTTCATGAGTTTTCTTTTCTCAGTGTTCTCATTTTATCTCACATTTCTTTCCAAAATCACACTGTAGTATAATACTCTGTGACCTTTACCATCTTTCTACAACCTATAGAATTTAACCTTTTTTGGACTTAACAGTTGGCAATTTTTTTTACCATTCTATAGGTTGTCACTTCATTGAGTTAACTGTTTCCTTGACTATGCAAGGGCTTTTCAATTTTGCATAATCTCATTTGCCAGTTATTGGGTGTTATCAAGACATCCCTTAACTATGTCTATATCTTGATATGTTTTGTCTGCTTTTTTCTAGTGTTTTTAGAATTTTGAGTAGATTTTGTAATAGGTGAAAGATATGAATGATTTTTTATTAGTTTCTCCAGCATCGTTTGTTGAAAGGCTTCACCCCCCCAACTTATGCTTCTGATACCTGTGTTAAATGGATTGGGCTGTGTCTTGTCCTTCCATTTCTTGATCTTCCATTCTATTCCTTTGTTTTGTGTGTTTGTACCAATGGAATGCTGCTTTTGTTACTGTGACCTTGTAGTATAGTTTGATCTCATAGATGATGATGCCTCCAGCATTGTTCTCTCTGTTTAGTATTGTTCTGGCTATATCAAGGTATTAATATGTTTCTATAAACTTTAAAGTAACTAGTTCTGTGAAGAATTTCAATACAATTTTGATAGGCATTGCATGAATCTGTAGATTAGATTTGGTAATATGATCATTTTTCCCTGCAAGATTAATTCCTCCAACCCACCTTGGGAGGTAATTCCATCTTCTATTATTTTCTTCTGTTTATTTCTTCAGCATTTTAAGTTTTAACTGTAGAAGTCGTTAACCTTTTTGGTTAGGTTTGCTCCTATGTATTTTTTCAAGCTGTGCATGAATTTTTTCATGATTTCTTTCTTGGCCAGTTTGTTATAGGTATATATATGAAACGCCTCTTGGCTTTTGTGTGTTGATTTTGTATCTTTTGACTTTGATGGAAGTGTTTATAAGACTTTAAAGCTTTCTAGTGGGGGATTTAGGGACTCTCAAATGAGAGATTGTGTCACCTGCAAATAGAAATAACGCGACTTGTTTATTTCCCTGTATCCCTTTCATTTCCTTTTCTTGCCTTCCTGTTCTAGCTCAGACTGAGTACCACACTGAACAAAAGCAGAGAGTATGAGCACTCTTGTCTCCTTTTTGATTTTAGAGGAAATATTTTCAAGCTTTTATCAGGTTTTATTTGTATAATTGTGGCTGTAGGTTTAGCATCTGGACCAGTGCTAGGCCACATCTAAGCAACATCTCAACATGTGGTGCATGACCCCTTTGGGGACATATATCAGATATCCTGCATGCTAGATATCTTTGATTTGTAACAGTAGCAACATTACAATTAAGTATAACAGAGGTAAAATTACAGCTATTAAGTAGCAAAAACAATTTTATTGTTGGGGTCACCACAACATGAGGAACTGTTTTAAAGTGTTGTAACATTTGGAGGGTTGAGAACCACAGCTCCAGAGTGTAACTTCCATTATGTTGAGAGATGTTCCTTATATTCCTGGTTCTTCAGACCTTTCCTTATGATGCCATACTGAACTCTGTCAGATGACTTTGGGGCAGGGAAATAGTCATGTTTTCTGTCCTTAAGTCTCTGGGCTGTATTTATTTTTTGCAAATGTCAAGCTATCTGTGCATTCTGAGAATGAAACAAGCTTGGTTGCGGTATCTTACAATCTTAATGTGTTTTCAAACTTGCTTTGTAAATATTTTATTGATAATATTTGTGCCTTGTGTTCATTGTGGAAATTGATGTATAGTTTTCTTTTTGTTGTTGTCAGGTTCTTATTATGTTTTGACATTAGAGTAAAGCTGGCTTTGTAAAATGAATTTGGTACTGTTCTTTTCCTTCCTGTTTTGTGAAACATATCAACAAGTGAAATCTGGGATTGTGATACCTCCAGAAGCTCCATTACTGTTCAGGATTATTTTTTTCTATCTTGATGGTTTTGTGTTTCAGTATGGAAATTAATATTAGTTTTGCCAATTTCTGTAAAGAATCATATTGGAATTTTGATGGATATTGTGTAGATTGCTTTGTGTAGGATGGACATTTCCACAGTATTAATTCTTCTGTTCCATGAGCAAGTAAGTTCTTTCCATCTTCTTCTATCTTCTTTAACTTATTTCTCTGGTGTCTTTAAGTTTTCATTGTACAAGTATTTAATTCCCTTGTTATAGTTAGTATTTATTCTAAAACATTTTAATTTTAAGACTCCTGTCAATGAGATTGTTTCCCTAATTTCTTCCTCGGTGAATATGTTGTTGGTGTATAGGGAGGCTATTGATTTTGTTTGGTAGTTTCCTATCCTGCCACTTTGCTGAATGTGTTTGCCAACTGTCAGAGTTTTCTGGTGGAGTCTTTAGGGCCTTTTATGTACAGAATCATATCATCTGCAAATAAGAACATTTGGCGGCTTTTACTATTTGTAACTCCTTTATGTCCTTGTTTTACTGGTCCAGCTAAGACTCCAAGAACCATATTGAACAGGAGTGGAGAAAATGGACGTCCTTGCCTTATTCTTGATTTTAGAGGAAGTGCTGTGATTTTATCTCCATTTAACATGAAGTTGACTATGAGTCTTTTGTTTTATGCTGAGATACAGCTCTAGTATCACTAGATTCTCTAGGACTTCCGTCATCAAGTGATGCTAGACTTTCTTAGAGACCTTTTCTGTATCTAGTACGTTGACCATGTGATTTCTATCCTTCAGTGTATTTTTGTGGTAAATTACATCTATTGTTTTCCTTTTACTTATATTGAACCATTACTATACCTCTGGGATGAAGCTGACTTGATCATGACTGATGAACTTTTTGATGTGTTCTTGAATTCACATTGTAAGTATTTTATTGGGAGCTTTTGTTTTTACATTCATCAGAAAGATTAGAGAAGTATTTTCCTTTTTCTTTGATTTTTTATTTGGTTTTGGTAGAGGGGCAATATTGATTTAGTAAAAACAATTTGAACATTTGTACTTTATGGAATAATTTCAGCTACTTTTCTATCACTGTGACAAAACAGAATGGCCAAGGTAACTTATAAATAAAACAAGACATATAACTTGGGGGCTTATGGTTCCAGAGTGCTAGACTTCATAAACATCATGGCTGGAAGTGTGGCAGTGGGCAGGCAGGCCTGATGCTGAGAGCTTACATCTGATTCACAAGCATGAGACAGAGAGTTAACTGGGCTGGAGTGGGCTTTTGAAATCTAAAAGTGACACACCTCTTCCAGTAAGCACACCCCTCCCAACCCTTCCCAAACAGTTCCACCAGCTGGGCCCTCCTGGCAGCAGTGTTTTGTCTCACACAGATCTCACAGGGAGGATTTCTAAAATGGTGGCTAGGGCTTTCCAGGTCCTCTGTGCACAGCCTGCTCATCCGACCCCTGAGGATCTGAGTTCATCTATGCAGTGAATTTCAAAAGTGTGAGCAAGAAGCCACCCAGTCCCAGGAACTTTTCGATTGCTCAGTTTTGGTTGACACATAGTGGATGTTCCCAGGCCACAGATATTGGCCCCATGTTGGGGGGACTGAGAAATTTTTGGTCTGGAAAACTATACTCATGGGTCAGGAATTAGAAGAGCTTGGTTAAAGAGCAAGGAGGTAGTCCTTTGTGGGAAGGGGGAGGAAAGAAAAGATTAGCTACTAGACATCCATCTTACTCCAGGCAGTTCCTGGATGGAGCTCTTCACACCGCCTCACTAAATTTCATTTTAACTAAGTTACTGGTTGAGTGAGTGAGTGCATGTGTGGGTACCATAATGTGCCTGTGGAGGTCAGAGGATCACTTTCAGGAGCCGCTTCTCACCTTCCACCTTGATGAGGTCTCCATTTCCCATTTCCCCATAGGAGTTCTGGGATAACAAATGCATACTGCATTATCCAGCATTTAATGTGGGCTCTGGGGATTGAACTCAGGTCATTCGCATGTGTTGCAAATGCCCTTACCTGCTGAGCCATTTTCCTGCATGCCTCTGCTGTTTTTCTAAAAGATTTGGATCATGACCCTTCTCACTGTGCCTGGTCCAGCCATCTTCCAGTATTTCTGCTCCAGCGCCCTAACCCTCCCTGATGTTGCTGCTCTGTCTTTGATTAATCTTATGGTCAGAACCAGTTCAGGTCACTGTAGCCAAGCTCTCAATTGTTTCCCATCTCAATGAAATTCCTCCCAGAGGCTCACCAGGCATGTGACACGGTGCCATCCCCCCACCCCACCCTGCCTCTTTCCATTATTCCATCCTACCTCATTTTCTTCACTGTGCCTTGATCCTCTTGGTCATCCAATCCGTGACCACACCAAGAACACACTCAGTTCAGGGCTCTTGCTCTGACTCTGCCACTCTCTTGGAATGACTGCCCAGGTTGTCAGAGTCTTGCTCTGTGGCCCTCTTACAAAGCAGCGTGTCTAGAACTTTACCTCACTTTGATTTTTATGCATGACATTTTTTTCTTTGTGTTCTGTATTCAGATATCATACAAGCTTGTTTTTCTGGTTGTCATGTTCCCCTTGGCTGAGAAGGTGCACAGAGCATCAGAACTGAGATGCTCTCAGATCTTTACGTTTCATCCTTCTACGCAGATATGCAATGTGGCCAATAGATGGCACTCGAGTACTTTCTATGTATTGAATTCTCTTTTTCCTTTCTCCATTTTTTAAATTTAAATTAGAACCAAGCTTGTTTTACATGTCAATCCCAGTTCACTCTCCCATGTCTGTCATATCATTTGCAGCAGGGCATAGACCCTCCCCCATGTGTCTCTCTATGTGGAATGGGCTCCCAAAGTCCATTGGTATGCTAGGGATAAATACTGATCTACTACCAAAGGCCCCATAGATTGCCGAGGCCTCTTCACTGACACCCACGTTCAGGGGGTCTGGATCAGTTCTATGCTGGTTTCCAAGCTATCAATCTGGGATCGATGCGCTCCCCCTTGTTCATGGATCAAAGACCTCAACATAAATCCAGCCACACTGACCCTCTTAGAAGAGAAAGTGGGAGGTACCCTTGAATGAATTGGTACAGGAGACTGTTTCCTGAACATAACACCAGTAGCACAGGCACTGAGATTGACAATTAATAAATGGGACCTCCTGAAACTGAGAAGCTTATGTAAGGCAAAGGACACAGTCAACAAGACAAAAAGGTAGCCCACAGAATGGGAAAATATACTCACCAACCCCACATCTGACAGAGGACTAATTTCCAAAATTTATAAAGAACTCAAGAAGCAAGTCTCCAAAACACCAAAAGATCCCATTAAAAAATGGCATACAGAACTAAATAGAGAATTCTCAATAGAGGAGTATAAGTGCTCAACTTAAGAATGTGCTCAACATCCTTAGCCATCAGGGAAATGCAAATCAAAATGACTCTGAGATACCATCTTACTCCTGTCAGAATGGCTAAAATAAAATACACCAATGACGGTTTATATTGGAGAGGATGCCAAGAAAGGGAACAGTCCTCCACTGCTGGTGGGAGTGCCAACTTGTGCAGTTACTTTGGAAATCAGAATGGAGATTCCTTAGGAAAATGGGAATCAGTCTACCACAAGATCCAGCAATTCTGCTCTTAGGCACATACCCAAAAGATGCACATTCATACAACCAGAGCATCTGTATTGAACTCTCATATTCTGAAGTTGTCTTTGCAGAACTACTTTTAAAATAATGCATCTGTGGTCTCTACCAAAGTTAGTGTCCTGGTTTCTCTCCTTTGTTTGGTGCCAGGCATGGGATCCAGAGACTTATGTATACTACAGAAGTGAATCACTAAGCCATACCCAGGTCTTGGTAGCTTGAATAGTTACCCACAAGCAATCCTATGAGTTCCTTCACAACTTCTTGATTTGACTAGGGTTGACACAAGCAATTTTGTTTTGTTTCTGACAAAGTTGTGTTGTAGATATATTAGTAGGGACTGCATTCTACAACTTTGTATTTGATTTGTTGTGGGCTTTTCTATAATGGACTGCATCTGCTGCAAAGAGAAATGTTGGGTTTTATGAAGAGTGAGGGCTACATTCATAAGAACAAATATTTAAAATGTAGTTAAGGTTTATACTGGTTTAATAAAGTGGCAGTTGTTGGTTTTTCTCCAAGATCCATGGTTTCATTAACCCTGGGTGTTGGTCAGGTTTCTAGTACTAGGAATAATTTCCCTTGTTGAGTGGGTCTTTGTGGTTATTGATCATGTCTTACACTAGAGAACTGTTGGTTACCCCCAAGGAAAGTTGAAATCTCAGTTGTTTTGACTTGCGTTTCCATAATTGCTAGGAACAATGAACATTTTGAGATATTTCCTAATCCCTTTTTTTCTTTTGAAAACTCCCTGTCCAGACCCCAGACCCCATATTTTGAATTTTTTCTTTGTTTTTGAGTCTTTTTAAATATATTCTTGATATTAATCCTCCGTCAGATTCTCTCCCATTCCATGGGCTTCCCCTTTATTCAGGTGTTAGGTTTTGTTTGTTTGTTTTTTAGCTGTATAGAAGCCTTTTTCTTCTTAAGAAGTCTGTCTTGTCAATTGCTGGTCCTAATTATTGGGCAAATGGGGTCTTATTCAGGAAGTCTTTTTCTACACCTGTGTCCTATAGGGTACTTCTTTGTTTTCTTCTAGCAGTTTCTGTGCTTCAGGTTTTCACATTTAGGTCTTTGATCTTTTTGGAGTTTGTTTTTGTGCAAAGTGATAGATGTGATTCTAATTTCATTCTTCTGCCTGTGGGCGACCAATTTCCCTGGCACCATTTGTTAGGATGCTTTCTCTTCCCCAGAGTAGGTTTTTGGCATCTTTGTCAAATGCTACATGGTTGAGATTACATGCACACCAAAAGATATGCTAACACAGATGAGGAAGAAAGCTCATAGGGTCTCACAAAGAACTACAGGCAACTAAGGAATGCTGAGAGTGGGAGGAACAGGGAAGAGCACACCAAATGGTGAAAACATGTACATACAAGTAACATTATACAGTCTTAGAGATATATATATATAGATTTTAAAGCAATCCTGGTAAACATGTTTCTGTTCTCCATGACAGCATATGAAAGTTCTCAAGAGCATGTCAACAGTCTAAGTGAAGTTCACTGATTTTGATCGTAGAAAGCTTAACAATTTTATATTGCTGAATTATTTTTATTTTATGTACATAGCTGTTTTGCCTGCATGCATGTATTTGTGTATCCCACATGTGACTAGTGACTATGGAGGAAGGAAGAAGTCATTGGATTCCCTAGAACTGGAAATGCAGACAGTTGTGAGCCACCATGTTGGTGCTGGGAGTTGACCCTGGGTCCTCTGGAAGAGCAAAGAGTGTGCTTAACTGTTGAGCCATTTCTCCAGCCTACTTTACACATAAGCCTCATCTTTTTTTTTTTTTGGTTTTCTGAGACAGGATTTCTCTGTTTTGGAGGCTGTCGGTCCAGCCTGGCCTCGAACTCATAGAGATCCGCCTGCCTCTGCCTCCCGAGTGCTGGTATTAAAGGTGTGCGCCACCAACGCCCGGCCAAGTCTCATCTTTTATATACCTTACATAACTTACTCAAATCTTTGAAATTTCATTAGACTTTTAGCTTTTGCCATATAAAATATTCCTTGTTAAAAAGATCTCTATTCTGTTATCCTTTTAACATTGTATCCTCTTGTTTGCTGTCTCTTATTATCATGAGACATAGTAACATTAGCTAAAGATGTTGAAAATTTTCCTTAGAAGTATGTACTTCATCCTTTGGCAACTCTTTGTTTAGCTCCGTACTCAATTTTGAAATTGGGTTGTCTGTTTCCTTAATGCTTCTTTTAAAAAATTCTTTGTATATTCTATGTATTAATCTTTCATCAGCTGTATAACTGGTAAAGACTTGTATCCATTCTGTAGACTGCTTTTTATCACTCAAATGATTATGTCCTTTGATTTACAGAAGCATTTTAATTCCATGAGGTTCCATTTATTATTAGCCTTAATGTCTGTACTAATCATATCCTGTTCAGAAAGTCCTTTTCAGTGACAATGAATTCAAGAATATTCCCTACATTATCCCTTATCAGATTCAGGGTATCAGATCTTCTGTTGAGGTCCTTGATCCATTTAAAGTTTTGTGCAAGAGGAGAGATAAGATCTTGTTTCACTCTTTTCTATGTAGCTATTCAGTTTGGCCAGAGTTTAAATGTAGTTATTCCAGAATGGGGTGACAAATGCCTTTACTATACAACACAAGCTAAAATATAAAAGCTCAAGTACCAATAACTTTTTGAGTGTTTGGCTAGTGAATTCCCATAGATGCCCCCACCAGGCTTTATAGGATATTGTCGATGTTATATTCCAGACCTTGACAGTAAGACCCTTGCTAAAGACACTATAAACTTGAGTCATAGAACATGGAGAAATCAGGCTGGCACTAATACGAAGGCTTCATCCCTAATGGCTAGCTTTCATAGTGCTTTTAAGTGCTACATATGCTATTAGAAGAGGAAAGAAACCACTAGTCTTAAACAGTGGTAAATTCTGAGAGAAACTATAATGGCTGGCCTGGCAAGATAGGCCTACTGATGCCATAGTGGCACAAATGTCAAGGGAGTAACCAACCACTTTCTGGTTGGATTTAATTCTCACTCCACAAGATGAAATTCATATCTGGCTCTGTTACTGGGGTCAAGAACCTGTTGTTACACTAGTCATAAGTCCTTGGGGAAGACTTGCTACTCTTATTATGTTTTATTATTAAGCTAACTCCTAATGACTTGTCATTGCTATGTATTAATGTATCTCTTCATCCTCATCAGAGGAGATTCTTTATGCAGGGCATTGCAGTTAATGCAGAAATCCACTTCTGGTCAACGTACAGAGAATAAGAGACTGTGGGATTCTCAGACATA